TTCGAATGTACTGACCGCAGCATGGACTAAAGACCGCAGTACGACCGCAGTCAGAAAGTTGGCGCAGTTGCTGCAAAATTGACGCCAAATGAGCTAGGCGGCGGGGCAAACGTTTTGAAACCAAGGCCATCTATAGATTTGAAACGTAAAACGCGTGGTAAAACGTAAAACCGGTAAGACCTTTGACATTACGCAAAACCGTAAATGCGTAAAACATTGCGTAGAACCCAGGGAGGCACCGGTTCTGACGTCACACGAAAATATCAGTCGGCTGGTTGTGGCACTGCCCCCTGCCGGCGCGACTGTGCTGCCACCTAGCTAAGCCTAGTCAGCCTAGGACGGGACGGTTTTACTTTTTCTCGTCGAGTGGGGCAGCTTGCGACGACACTCGGTCGACATAGCTGTGCTGCAACATACCCCAGGTTCGGAGTCTCTCGGACAGCCAATCCTGTTCCATAACCACAGCTAAGTCCCCGCTGACCTTAACCAGGATTGGCCTGACGACGTTGAATCTTCGTCGTTCGAGAGACACCGAACCCGCGGATAGTCTGTCGAAGCCTTGGCGGCTGAAGAAAGGCCAGACATATCTCACTTGATTTTGGCGTGGCCAGCCTCACTTCTGTAGTTTTGCTTCACAGCATTCCACGTCCTATTGAGTTTCCGGTTGCGTAGTACACGACCACGTTCAGAAACTTGATGTCTTTTAGATACATCACGCAATGACAAACTTTTGGCAGCATTTACATTTGTTGCCTGCATATTTTGGTGAGGAAAAATCACTATCGCAGTAGTACAATCAAGACATACCACAAAGGATCAGAGCTAAAGCAGCATTATTAATCAAAAGTGTATTGCATTGATCACCAGCATGTTCGTAAAATAAAATACATCACGAATAAAGATGACAACCAAGCCGGACCAGGACACTTATGACAAACATGAACGCTAAAGTGGCAACACAAATGAAAGAGAGAAGATGAATCTGCCCTTCGCAATCGTTAACCTAAAATAAAACTTCAAATATACAACAGACTTCTGTGCATTAAAAGAACATGAATATACTCGCTTTGTCGTCGACACATAATGGGAACATCCTGCCGGCCCAGCGCGCCCGCCTTCGAGTAGGAAATGGCAGCGGCCGCAGAAGTGGCCAACAGATACATTGTTCGTCACGCCACCTGCACTGAAACTCACCAGCTATTTAATCGTGAAATGTAGCTAGCCATCCAAAAATGTTGCACTACACCAGCACTACCGCACAGTTAGCAGATAGGTACGGACCGCAGATCCTGGTCTGTCTCTTCCGAGTACGGTCTCCGGACCGGTCACCAGCGCCACCATCTCCGCGCGGTAGCTATAGCACAACTCTCCGGCCGGGGCCCGCAGTTCCTCGACCTCTTCGTCCAGCCAGACCAGCACGGCACCCGCCCAGCGCCTGAAGACTCCGCCCTCCACAGATCCGTCCGTCCAAAGCCGGACAGCACACAGGGGCAGGAACGCGAGGTGCAGCGTAGCCATGCTTTCCCTTTCCGCCGCCGTGGCCCCAGCCCGGATCGGGCACACGTCCAACCGGAAGGTGACGCCAGCCGTCTGTTGCCACGGTGGGATTCTCGCTCTCGCCCAGGCCTGGCGGCCTCGCAATCTCCAGCCTCGGACCGAAGGCAGGCGCGCCGGTGCCGAGGCCTCGGCGGTCGCGCGCAGGGGGTCCCCTGATGGCAGACCCAGCGCCCTCCCCAGCAGCCTGGCAGCCAGCGTCCAGCTTCTCTCCTCCATCGGAGAAAGTCGGGCTTCCGCCATTAGTGCGTGGCACGGTTGACGGTGTTGAGCGTGGACACAGGTGATGATGCGGCCGCCTCCCGCAGTCCTCGCTCCAGGAGATTCACGTGCGAGGGGGCGGCCGCCGGCAGCCACGCGACGGCAGCGTGTTCGAGCGTCCCTCGGACGTAACCGATTGACCACCGTACTAAGGGCACCCTCGTCCAGGCCCCACCTATTCAACCAGGTTGACGGCGCCGTAGCCGTCAGAACCTGGTGATCACTCGAGCCACGCCACAGAGCTCACGCCTCAAAGCGGTTGGCTCTCCGGTCCTCGGCATCCGGCATCCGCAGTGATTTGGCGTAGCCAGGGCACGTGAGATGCTGGCCTCAGTCATAACCGGAAAGCCTGTAAAAAAAAACAATATGTGATTGACAAATGGAAATATATTGTATGCATAGAGTTGAGAAATCATGACGCACACTGCATTGTGACAGTAGATAGTTTAGTGTGATTGGCAGAGGAGGGACTTATTGTAATAAAACAATAAACAATTGAGGCATTGATTTGATTTTGTAGGTAGCTATCTACCCTTCTCATATGAATCTGGATGATTTCTACCATTAAGAAAAAGAAAACATAGGCGGCCTAGGATCGGGAAGGGGATGTCCCCACTTTTCAGTTATGCTAAATATAAAATATTTATTTTTCATTTAAATTCAAAACTAACAGCAAGAAATTGTTCGGCAAGGTGAAATAAGCACGAAACTGTAAAGAATTTGTTCATAGGGGTATTGGGGTTCCCACAAAGTGACATTGAAGTTCTCTGCCCCCCTCCCCCCACACTTTACGTGAGGTTCCTGCGCCCATGGAAAAAAACACATTGCATTATGTGCATCAACACTTAACCCTTGCACTTAGAGAGAGCCACAAAGCCCACTATAAAGCCCACAAGACACCACCTGAAATCAAAGCATGACAAATGATAGCATGTAGGCACCTGGACCTGACCTACTATAACCTACTGAACCAAACATACCCCATATATCAATATGTATGTGTAGATAAAGTATGAATGGTAGGTTAATACCAAGGCTGTTTAGTAGGTTGTAGGCATGCTGAAAGGATGAAAGATGGGTATTTCTTCAAAAAATATCTGATCTACAGTTCATATGAATATGCAACATGGGGTCCAGACTGGAAAAAAATACACGTTAAGCCGAATATGTCCGGCGTAGTGGCGGGATTGCGCCGAAAATTTAAGCGCACGTCCGGCGTAACTTCGCATGCGCCGAATTCAGTGCATGGCGGCGGACGAATTTTTCGGTGCAGGGCGGTCGCATAATTTTTTGGCGAAAACAGTCACCGAATTTATGCGGTACGCTGGTCAATCTAGCAGCAGATTCGCCCCGTGGGCAGCTCTGGAGAGGTTGCGGGACGAGACGTCCCCGCCCCGGTCGTCGCGTGCTCGAACTGGCGAGCCGCCCTGAGTCTACTCAGCGGAGGAACGGCCGCCCAGGTGAGGCCTCAACCTTCGGCGTAGAGATAGGCATGGAAAACCTTGTTGAACGTCGCCAAGCGTCGTTAAGCAATAGCAGTGGGTTCCTGCCCACTGCAGTATCGAGGGGAATGAGAGCGTGGACGATCTGGCAAAACTAGCGGCCGCCCTGCCCTCAAACGCCCGATCGCTGACCAGGGCGGTTCATTGTGCGGCCTCGCATCAGTGGCGCGACAACTGCTCAGAATCACTATTCAAGCCACTCCTCGGGAGCACGCCGCCGCTCCCTCTCCCCGGAGAGGACCGAGAGGATGCCATTTCGGTGCACCAGATGAGGGCGGGCCACCGGGGCAGCTCGCTCCAATACGGCACCGAATCGGCTGTCTCCACCCCGCCGCGTGTCAGCAGTGCCCAGACCAGCGGTGCCCAGCGGCGCTCTGCACCGTGAGCCGAGAAGAGGCTGATGTGCCGGAGCACGTGCTGCTCCGCTGCCGGGCCCTCGCTGGCTCCCACCGAGGTATTGGGTTTACGTGGAAATAAAAACTAATTCGGAAGCTCAAACATGGGATAGTGTACAAAGCCCCGAAACACTCTGCCTGGTTGATATAGCCTTGATCAGTATATGTGCACATGTGCTTTATATGAAATGGGCTTATTTTCGCACAAATAGGCACCTAATTTTTGGCGCAAATCACTCAGAAATTTCGGCGCAGAATCGCTTGCGCCGAATTTCGGCGCAAGATAGTCTCACGGGCATCCGGCATAGTGTATGGATGTTTTCCAGTCTGGCATGGGGTTAGCCATTAGGTAAGGTTTGATTTTTGTTTTGTATTTGTATCACATGTAAATATCATATCTGGACTCAGGATGTCAAATAGTGCAAGAATGTACAAAATGTATGCCTGAAAAGTGAATCACTCTTTCTGAACATTTACTAAAAGTGGTAGTTTAGTACGCAAAGGTTAGGCTAGGGTAGATGATGTTTTTTATCTTCACCATAGTTTATCTACACAGTAACCGAGAAACCCTCGTCCAGACATAGCAATAGGTAGGCATGGCAAATCATCAAAAAGTTAATATTTTCTGCTCATCAGCATTTGACCAAAATAAGGGTTCTAGCATGTCTGGTTATTTCAGGTTATGTTAGGTTATATGAAGGTGAGGTTAAAACTTTAACAAGCTCTAAGACATATATACGAGCTTCATCTGAGGTTAATATTGAGCTAGGGGTCTGGGTACCCACCTTCCTGTCAGGCCATGATAGGTACTTGACACACCATCCTGCTATCTGAGGCGGCCCAGGAACAAGCTCAAGCAATTACAATGAAAGTCAACAGTCGTGCGGGCATTACACCACTCCTCATTAAAATATATCAAGTAATTAGTTAATGACGATAATCCCGCCACCACAAATCTTATGAAACGCACCAACATTGACCTTTGATATTCCGAAAAGAAATATCCATAACACTGAACTCTATAAATTAATGATCCATAATGATTTAAGCGAACGTGTTCTTACGCAGCTGTGACATAAGCTGCGCATACGAAAAACACCCGCTAGACCAATTGATGGCGAATAAACCTGTTGATGAAGAAATACTTGTCTCCCATTGGTCTGTGAACACAATCTGCAGGAAACGCAGCTTAAACTACTTACTTACTTACTTACTTAAGATGCACGGAAAATTTTGAGAGGCCCAAGGCCTGTAGTGTCCGCTCCAGTCGAGTTCGTGTTTGACAGTGTTACTGTTCGTATGGTAGGGGCGGGGTGAAGTGGAGGTGTCTCCAGTGAGTGTCGAGCCGGTTCTTGAACGAGTTTAGAGAGTCGGCGTCTACGACGGATGATGGTAGGCTGTTCCAGTCGTTAATGACTCTGACTGCGAACGCGTTTCGACGGATGCGGGTGACGGCATGGGGCTTCGCAAGACGCCAGGAGTGTCCTCTTGTATCTCTGGTCGTTACTCGGTTGAAGAGCTCCTCCGGATTCAGGTCCAGTCTCCCATGCAGCACATTGTAGACAGCGATCATGTCGCCGCGTCGACGTCGGTAGTGGAGGGAAGGCAGCTTCATAGACTTCAGTCTTTCTTGGTACGGTAGGTGACGTACTTCCTGGACCAGCTTGGTCGCTCGGCGCTGGACTCGTTCGATGAGGAGCTGATCCGCTCGATTGAATGGCCCCCAGACAATGTTACCGTACTCCAGGAGTGGTCGCACAAGCGTCTTGAACAGGATTGGCAGGGTCATCTTGTCCAGCAGGCTGAATGACCGTCTTATCACGGCCATCACTCGAGATGCCTTGTTGACCGCTGCCGCTGCTTGCCTCCTGAACTTCAGCTCCGCGTCAACAATCACTCCTAGGTCCTTTTCCTCTGTCGCCGTCTGCAGGACTTCACCGTTCAAAAGGTAGTCGTGCCGGTGGACGTGACGACCGACGTGGAGGACCCTGCACTTCGTGTCGTTAAATTGCAGTTGCCAATCCTCACCCCACTGTGTCACAGCGTCCAGGTTCGCTTGGAGAGCCCGCGCGTCCTCATGGTCACAGACGACCTGGTACAATTTGCTGTCGTCGGCAAAGACCTTGACACCGCAGCTTAGGACATTTGGCAGGTCGTTAACATATAGGACAAACAATGTAGGTGCCAACACAGATCCTTGCGGGACTCCACTTGGGACTGAGGTCCATTCCGAGCAGGAACTGCCGATCATAACCCGCTGCTTTCGCCCCGTCAGGAAGGCCTCTATCCATCGTAGCAGCTTCCCACGGATTCCATGTGCAGCCACCTTGTGGAGAAGCCTGCGGATTGATACAGTGTTGAAGGCCTTGGCCAGGTCAAGATAAATGATGTCCATGGGGTCACCACGTTCTGCAGCACGGCTCCAGTCCTCTGCTGAAAGTAGCAGTTGCGTTACGCAGGACCTGCCCGGCCGGAATCCATGCTGGGCTTCAGTAATCAGGCCCTCTGCCTGCAGGTGCTCCATCAGCCTGTCCCTGATGATGGCTTCCAGCACCTTGCAGGGCACTGGCGTCAGGCTGACTGGTCGGTAATTGCTGGGGTCGTCCTTGCTGCCCTTCTTGTAAATGGGGACCACGTTGGCCGACGTCCAGTCCTCTGGAAGGATCCCTGTATCGAGCGACTCCCGGTACATGGCTGCTAGTTGAGCTGATATTGAGTCTCTCGTCTCGTGGAGTACCCTTGGATGAATGCTGTCAGGTCCAGCGGCTGAGGAGGTCTTGATCTGGGCGAGCTTCTGTTTTACCAGGTCCTCTGAGATGTCAACGACCTCTACTACTGGTCCCCTGTACGCGTCCCCGGCGTGCGGCATCGGCCGAAGGTCATCCTCGATGCAGACCGAGCTGAAGAATGCGTTCAGCACCGCGGTCTTCTCTTCGTCGTTTACTGTAAGCTGACCCGAGTCTGTGCGGAGGTTCTCAACGCCGGCCCTGCTCTTGGTTCTTGAGGCCGAGTACCGCCAGAACGCCTTTGGGTTTGCCTTCAGGTCAGCCGCCAGCTTCCTCTCCAGTTCCTTCCTTAGATTGCGGGTGAGCCGTCTCAGGTCGTTGCTACATCGCTTGTAACGTGCAAGGCAGATGTCATCCATGGATTGGGTGTACTGGATCCACAACTTCCGCTTCAGCTTTTTCAATCGCATAGCTTCCCTGTCCATATAGATATTGCGTCTCTTATTAGTTGGGCAAGACCTGGGGATACACTGAGTCGTCAGAAGATCCAACGTCCTTTTGAAGTACTCGTATCTGGTGCGCGGGTCCGGAGGATCGGGCACTTCCCAGACAGTCTCCCTGATCCGATCATTCAGGAGCGCATAGTTCCCTTTGTTGAGGTTCAGCCGGGGCTCCCTTGGTTCTCTTCCCTGGTCATAGTGCACGGTCTCAAACTTCAGTACCACATGGTCGCTGTGTCCTATGGGTGGGTGGTAGACAAGGTTTTTGACTAGCCCCTCCTCGTTACTCAGGATAATGTCCAATCCGCTAGACCTGTTGCCTTCCCTGTATCGTGTGTCCCTGGTGACATGTTGTGTGAAGCCACAGTCTTGCAGCCCTTCCATAAATTGGTGTGTATGATGGCCCTCAGGGGCAGTGGAGTAGCTGTGAGTCCAGTCGATTTGGGGGTAGTTGATGTCCCCAGCAATCAACACTTGGGTGTTTCTTTCAGATGTGCAGCTAGTGATGAGCTCCAGTAACTCAGACGTAGAAGACGGTCCGTGGGCAGATGGGCTACGGTAAATACATCCAATGAGGAGGCGATTTGGGTTTCGCAGAGGGATCTCCAGCCACAGATGCTCGATTTGATTGCAGCCTGGGAAAGAGCGCTTGGTAGTCCTGATAGAAGTTTTGACGAATATGCCAATCCCTCTGTACCCACTGCTGCCAAGGTTCTCCTTTCCTGGATCGAAGTTCAAGTAAAGATTATATCCCAGAATAGCAAGGACTGCAGGTGAAATGGGGTGAACCTGTGCCTTTGGAATTATCTCTGTCAAGAGGATTATGTCTGGCTCATCGTTTACCAGGGCCATACAGAGGTCATCCCGTTTGTTAATAAATTGGTCTATGTTTGTGTAGAGGACCTTGAGTTTGCTTGACCTCTGCCTTCCTTCCTTATCTAGTCAATGCTGGTTGGGTGCCCCAGCGCCTGGCGCAATGGGCTCAGTGGAAGGTTCCGCTCTTGTCTGGGATGCCGCCAGCTGAGCGGTGTTAGTTGGCAGCCTGGTCTCAGTCCCATTCCTTGGGACTCCTGCATCTGGTCCGCTTGCTGGGAGATGTGTGCTCACAGGTCGGGAGTGACGTCTTTCAACTGGGACTGGGACAATCCTGCCTTGTCTAATGTGGATGTGCTCCTCCCCAGATGCTTTTCTCCTGGCCAGTTCTTGCCTCAGAGCGCGTGCTTTCTCTCGTTCTTGCCAGGTCAGGTCCGGGGTGAAGTACACATTGCCCCACTCCACGGTTGTTCTTAGGGTGGCTGCTGACCTCAGGATGTTTGTTCTGTCTTCCATGGTGGCAAGGGTCACCAGCAGCAGTCTAGGCTTGTTCTCTGTCTTCTTTCCGATGCGGAATGAGTTTGTACATTTCACGACCAGCTTCATCCCCTCTTTTATCATGCTTACAAACTTCACCTCATCACTTTTCTTGTCTGGTTGGGCTGTGGTGTCTGTTTCAGGCAGGTTATGTACAATGACATTCATTTTGCGCCTTTCTTTGTCCTGCAGCTCGTCTAGAACCCCCGCAATCTCTTCCATGTTCCTTTGTACTGGCACTGTCACCTGTGGCAGCTTGCTTATTTTCTCTGTCACTTCCTTCACAACTTCTGTGCTTATCCCCTTTAGAGCCTCTGCATATGTTTGCTGCTTCGCTTTGTCTTCTGTTGTAACAGCGTCCATCTTGTCCAACACCTTGCACTGGACTGCAAACATTTTCTCCTGGTTCCTCACAGACTCCAAGATTGTTGCAGAGTTGTGCCGCATGATGTTCTCTAGCTTATCCATTCTTTGATCAATTCGGGCAAGATCGTCCTTGGTTGTGTTTGATGCCATGGGTTGCGTCTTATCACAATCATGCAGCCATTTCGTACAGTTTGTGCAGAGCCACACCAGTGTGCCATGCCACTTGTTCAGTGCAGACAATGCACCCTTTGACAAGCCTTGGCATTTGCTGTGGTACCATCCAGAACACTTTTCACATTCAACCGCTCCTTCACCGTCTTTGACCTCCTTGTTGCATACCGTCTTTCCTGGACCACCCCTGCAAACTGTTAGTCCCCTCGGGTCCTCCCCATCTTGATCAGCGTCGAAACGCGACCCCGACCCCGGGTCAGGGCTCGTGTTGTTGGACCGAGTCCCCCACGGTCTGTAGGCATCACTATCCAGCCTCCTTATTTCAGGGGTTTTGTTCCCATTCAGTTCCTGTGATGAGCTTGAGCTACCATCCCTCGTCTCCCCGGGGCCCCGGTTGGGTTCCAGTGGGACTTGGCCCCCCTCCACTGTCTCAGCCCCCGGGGGCTTCTTATCATTTCTAGTTTTCTTACCTCTAGTTTCCTGTTTTGTCACGCCTGATTCATTCGCACCGCCGTCATGCACTTGATTATCCGTATTATACGTGCTGCTCAGAGATTCAGACGCAAGGCCGTATAAGTTAGGTAAGATCGTCCGGGCTCGCTAATGTTACAAATCTGCAACACTACGGTGACGTCACCGGAGCATACGCTCCCTGGCTCCATCCGGACCCTGATGCGGCCGCTGGAATCGCTGTTAATCGAAAAATTACTTGTGCAATAGCGCTTTTAAATGACTTTAAAAGGGGGGAAAATATGATAGCAAAATAATAATGAGAATCCCTTGTCCTGACTGGGATTGTATGACCCCGCCACCTATCGGACAACGTCGTAATTAGGGTTGAGTTGGCGATCGCCAGGTGGCTTGTCAGTAAGCTGTCAGCCGGACAGGAGAGGGGCCGTCAGGCTGTAAACGCCAGATCATGCTCAGGAAAATGCGACACGCTTAAGAACGGTCATTTATCTCGAAAAAGATGCGGTGCCCTGTGGTGATATGGCCCACATGACTCGGGACCCGTAAGCCGTATACGGCCTACGGGTCCCCTCCCGAGTCATCAGGGTCCTTATAAGGCCCCTGTGGTCACCGGCAGCTCCCAAGGCCCCTACGGACGCGATGCATGCTTCGAAAATCGCTAGACAAAGGACTCAGGGGCGCAGCCAAGGGGGAGGGGCACACTAGGGCTTTAGCCCCTCCCAAATCTAGCAGGCGCCCTCTGGAAAGACGCCATCCAGGCGCCGAAGGCGCCCTGGATGCAGCGCCTTCCACGATCATTCTGTGCGCCGATGGCGCCTTTTCAGTGTCCAGCACTCTAGTCGCCCTCGACGGTAAGCCATTGCGACGTCATCATGCGGTACTGGCGCCCAGATTTACAATTTTATATCTCTTTGTGGGTGAAGATGCACCCACAATCCTGAAATGCCGGATATCCACTCCCAATCACTTGACCATCTAGCGCCCTCGGCTCACCTTCAGCGCCCTTCTGTCTGCTCGGCGCCCTTCTCATCTGTCGGCACCCTTCTCGCCCTTCAGCGCTCTCCTGGCCTGTCGGCACCCTCTTCACATTCGGCGCCCTCCGGGCAGACCAGTTAGCGCCCTCATGGACATTATCACACAGCATCCTCCTGATCTGTCTCGCCCTCCACACTTGTCAGCGCCCTCCTGACCTGGCAGCGCCTATCGTATTATAGCGCCCTCTTCACCGTACAGTGCCCTCCTGACCTGTCGCCATCCTCCTCACTGTATAGCGGCCTCCTAACCATACAAAGCCCTCCAGACCGGCTCCCGCTACGTTCAGCGCCCTCCTGACAAGTCGGTGTCCTTTTCATCGTAGACGGCCCTCCTGACCTGTCGGCTCCCTCCTGACCGTACATTGCCTTCCTCACCTTGTCCGCGCCCTCCTCTTTATACAGTGTCCTCCTGACCTGTCAGCGCCTTCTTCACTCGTATAGTGCCCTTCTCATCGTACAGCATCCTCCTCACCATGGGCGCCCTCCTGACCTGTCGGCGCTCTCCCCACCATACAGCGCCCTGCTGCCTTGTCGGCGCCCTCTTCACGGACAGCGTTCTCCAGATCTGTCGCAGCTCTTATCACCGTGCAGTGCCATCCTGACCTGTCAGCGCCCTCGCCTGTCGGCGACATCTTCGCGTTCAGCGCCCTCCTGACCAGCCTGCGCCTTTTGCAACGCATAGCGCCCTCATCACCATGCATAGCCCTCCCGACCAGTCAGCGTCGCCGTTCATCGTACAGCGCCCTCCTGACCTGTCGGCGCCCTCCTCACAACACACCGCCCTTCTGAGCGGTAAGCGTTCTCCTCACCATGCAGACAATGCAACACTTTACAATTAGGAAAGCGTTAAGTAGCCTTTGCTTAACCCTCGCCGGCACAGGCCATTTTGCGTCATTCGACGGCAGGGGGGCTGGTACGACCCCCCCCCCCTCGCGCCTCTGACAGCTTCGTAACATGTTACAAAGGCACCAAAACTACTTTGTAAATGTTCAAATGGTTACTAAATTCGAAATCAGCTCCAAAAACTAGCCTAGAAACATGTAAAACTCGAAAAAGTGAACCGAGGTCACCAAA